TCCCTTTTTTCATGAGAGAAAGACAGAGAGAGAGGAATAGACAGACGGAGAGAAAGAGACGAGCACCCTTAGCGAGGTCTCAGATCACGATCCGCATCCTGCCCCACTGCAGCCTTTCCTAGTCAGCCAGGATTCTGGGCCTGTGCACGCACACCCAGCATGCACAGTTCCACTAAGGAACTGAACACTGATCTCTTCTCTGACTTAGGCACTGCAAAGCATGGTGCTACTGCTGTGCCATCATGTGTGGGCCAGTAATAGATGATTCTTTTCAAGTCGTTCTATGTTCCTTCTGCTTTCTTACCTCCAAGAGTCTTACCCTTTTTCTGGAGGACTGGTACTCCCTTTCTCACTCTTACCTCAGTTAACTCCTACTCATCCTTCAGGTCCAAGCTTACAAAGTTTCTTTAGAGAACCTTCCCTCATATCTTCTAGGGTATGACAATATGCAGAAACCATGTTTACTTGGTTCAGAGGAATAGCTCCAGTCTTAGCACGGTACAAAGATCACAGTAGATACTCAATATACGAATTAGAGGTTTTTGCCTTAGGGCAAAATCCTGCTTGCTGGGGAGAAAGAGACAGAGACAGTGAAAGGGAAAGTGAGAAATCACCCCTGGGGGAGATGGACAGACTGCAATCTCTTCTCCTCTGGGATCTTGGACACACACAGGCACGGGCCTGGCATGATTTTCGAGCCATCAGCCTGGCACTCGAGCTGCAGTTGGCCATGCAGAAGTCCAGTAACATAACCACCATGCCATCTGCTGGTCCCTTAATTAAGTGATATTTTACACAAATGGGATGAGCACAGTGCCTGGTAGTTTGCTACTATGATTATTTTAAATTAATTTACAGGGAACTCTTAATTACTCCTACTTTTAAATTGCATCACATTCTATTATATTCTGTATCATGTGAAAAAATCCACAAAGGTGATGATAACACAGTAATGGCACTGAGAAAATAGTGATTTAGTCAGTATTTATGCAGCAAAGTATATACTGAATCCCCCCACACATTCTTTACCCAGTTTTTTTTAAAGGATTATTTATTATTATTATTATTATTATTTTAGTTTGCTATAGGGCATGTGTGCTCACCAGAGAGAGTCAGCGAGAGAGAGGGAAAGTGAAAGCAATCCACCAGGTCTGAGACTTGAACCACTGTCAGCCATGTGGGAGTCCAGCACTTTAACCGCCATGCCACATGCTGTCCCCTCCAAGTTCTTCTAAAACTTGAAGTTTCTTTATTTGTTTTATATCACAGATACAAAAAAATCTAGAAAAAAGTAACCTACTTTTTCTTCTTAGCAAAACACATTTTCTCATTTTCAATTTTTTTGTCCTTTTCATACATGGAACAAAGCTGCATTGTTAGATTTCCTAAATCAACACCTTTTAGCTCATGTTACATAAAAAATTAACTTTAGGGGGTACATTTAATGATTAAAATATAATCTGTAATTATTTGTGTTAGGTGGGAAAAAATACCCATAATATGGTATACCTCCTCCAGAGTTAAGAGGTCAGACCTATTGCCTTACCTCTTCTAGCTAGACTGAATTTGACTTGCTCTGATTAATTTAAAGTGGAGGATATAATGTGCCAGTGTAGGAGTCCACACTTCCAGCTTCACTCTCCTGGAATGGAATGCTCCCACCACGATGCACACAAGTCCAGGCCAGTCTGCTGAATGATGAGAGAGCCCTAGCCAACAAACAGCACCAAGGACCAGACGCATCAGTGAGGCCATCTTAGCTCCAGTCCCAGCTGAGCTGCCAGTGACTGTAGCCACACCAGCAGCCCCAGGTGAGACCGGGCAACTCCCGAAATCATGAGAAGTAACATATGATGGTTGTTTCAAACCACTAACTTACAGGGTGGTCTGCTATGCCTCAAAGGCTAATTGAGATGTATTCAAATTAAAGTCTATTAGAAAATACAATGACTATATAAAACCCAATTTAAGAGCAAACCATATTATAAATAATACTATAAAAAGAGCACAGACCCAAGGGTTAGGAAGAACTCTGTTTTAGTCTGGGATTATTATTACTAGAACAGCTTGGAGCAAGCACTTAACCTATTTAGGCTGCATTCTCTTTCTGCAAAGTGGTTTTGAGAAAGATGTTTATGATTTTTTCCATTAATAGATACTAATATTATGTATGATTCCAAGGTAATGTTTCTAAGATTTAGAAAATAGCTTTTTGTACATTGTAAAAATATACTGAGATTAAATGCAATAAAAAAGCTTCAATTTAATACACTACAAAGTATGATAAAATTTTACTTACTCCCCCCCCACAAACCATATAAACCCATACACATAAAAAGTTACCTTCTCTTTCCTATTTCATTTCCCTCAGTATTCCAGAAGATTTATTTCTACATTCTCCTCATACTCTGTATTTCATGGAAGGCTTTCTCTCTATATCCCCTCTGCCTCTCCCAGTTATGGTCTCCAATTTGTCCCTTCTCATTCTCTCGACCCATTCCAATCAGATCACTGTGGCAAGCACTCCCTAAGACAATCTATGTTCAATAGTCATCCCAGTCGACCATGTGGGAACTGGCTCGCTCAGCCATGACACTACAGAGGCAGTGCTTTCATGAACTTTATGGAGACTCGACATATATTAGTGTTTCCATATAGAAATTCATTTCTGGAATTGCTCAGATAATACACTTTTTCTAAATCCCACAAAAGATCAGTTAGGAAAAATAATTTTTAAAAGTATTATAATTCTCTGAGAATTAAAACATAACAATCTCACACAGAGACATTCATGGTTAAAGGAATCAAGTGATACAGATTGTGAGAGCAGGAAACACTGCAAAGGAGACTCCATGCTAAGGAATGCATTTCCAGGAACCCGGACAGGCCGTGTGAAAGCAGCAGTCGCAATCTACTTAGTCTGACTTGCAGCTGTTCCATGTACTCATGACCCCATCTGCTAATGGTGGGTCTTTTTTTTTTTTTTTTTTTACAAACACAACATTAATAGGATTATACGCATATTATACTTTCTATAAACCCTATGAGTGGTGTTCCAAGAAATAACAAGTTTTAGAGGCTAAATAAGTCCTTAAATTGGCAGTTTCAACACATGACTCTGTGTAATGCTGTTAACCTTGCTGTGATATTTGAATGTGAGGTTATTTGAATACTATCCAATAATATTCTCTGGCATTTTCTACTGTTTGAGTATTTG